ACTCGTGTAAACGGATGTTTGGGACTTATACGGACACATTTCTTAGTGTTTACAAGTACGTAGTACCGGGTGTAACTGAGAATACGCAACAGCGTGGCTCGATTGCATACTCAATATGGCTGCAGGGGCCATGGCCCCTTACGGGCATAAAGAGTAGGCAAACCCGCAACACTGTTGCGTATTCTCAGTTACACCCGGTACATGGCAGGGTGGCAGCAGAGGTGGTAAATTGAGAAGACTCGGCCATTCCTTTGTGGTTACGTTCTTTTACTTTGGATGACTAAACCGTAACCTACCCTCAACCAAACTTTGATTTACCATCACTAGGCAGACGGGGTAAGGTGGCCGACAACAGGACACCAGAAAACTGCACAAAATAACATTAAACACAGCAAAAGCCCTGAAAGGTGATGATCACTTAAATTAATACTCTGTGACATACGTATTAAATAGTGACGGCATAACGATGCATCGTTTTCATGAGTTTTCAACCTACTTTGATGACAACACATCGATGGTCGGGTCGGCCCAGACCGGCGCGGCCCTCCGCCCTTCCCTCCGACCACGCAGGCTGTTTACCTTACGCGACGTCCTGGAACAGACCCCGCCGTGATGAGGGCGAGCGGAGAGGGGTGTCTAGGCGACGGGCCGCAAACTGCACCCCTCCCCTCCCCCACCGCCGTCCGCGGGCAGCCGCCGCCGCCGGTGCCAGTGACACGCAGGCGAGGGGTGGGGGCGGGGGCCGCACGGCCGCACCACGCGGGGCGGGGGTGAATGTCACGGAAATGTCACCTCGATATTAGGCGCTGCGCCGCCTCCGCGTGGCATTTCAACCACCCCCGCTAGGGTCGACCCACGGCTGGCTGGTCCTCCACCACGGAGGGCGGGAGAGAGACCGGATGGCGACGCAGACGCACCGTCTCTCGAGTGAGCCGCCTGAGAGGTAGGCAATTTTGGATACAGGACCCCTGTAAGTAGGCAACGCATGGCGCACCCCCGCCCTGTCAGCCGGGCCTTGGACCAACGCCTCTGGGGCCGGACGGCGTGCGTCGTCCACCTGGTCCACCCGTGCAGCCGGCGGCACACAAGCGAAGCAAGCGCCCCCTGCCCGCCACCAGCCGCCACAGCAGGCTGCGGCCAGGTCGGACACCTGCGCGGGCCACACAGTATACGCGGGGGACGGCGAGACCCGCGCCGGCGCAGCACCCTCCATCACCGTCGAACGACACAACGACTCGCGCACCTTGACGGTGAGGTATAGAGCAGTAGAAGGAGGGCGCAGAAGCGCGTCGCGAACGGGTTCCGTCCGTCCTACTGTATACAGCAATTTGGGCGGCCTTGCTTGCGACGACTCGACAGGCAGGCCTCGCCTCGCATCACTCAGTCCTGCTATACCTGAGCCCGACGCACGCACACACACACACGCACACAATCGCTCTGCCCCGCGCCACGGGGGCCACCTGCTGCCCGCAGTCGCGCCCGGCCCGCCTGCCTAGCGGCCCTACGCCACTACGCCACTACGCCTGCCCTGCCGGGTGTTGTCCGTTACGAATTTCTAGTCAGCTTCCTCCTCCCTCCCCCCTTTTCCCTCCACACTCGCTCACCCAACCACCTCCCTCGCCCCCCCCTCCCCCCACCCCCACACCACACTTCCACCTTCTGCTATCATCGCGCCGGGAGCAGCGGGACCGCCCCCGCTCCTCCTCCCCCGCCCGCTCCCAAGTGCCCCGCCTACCTACCGCGCTCCCGCGGCGCTCTGCTACCGCGGCCGGCAGCTCCAACGGCTCCAACGGCTCCACGGCCCTGCCGCCGCCGCCTCGGCTACGCCACCGCTGGTCGCCGCCGCTCCACCTGCAACACACGAGGAGCATCAGGAGCACGAACAACATGCCCGGCACAAACATTAGCTGGAAATAGAGTCACACACTTCATTTTAAGTTTTGCAACCAACCCCGCTGAGAAGCATCCCTCGATACTTTTCCGGTAAACCACCACCATACCATATGGCAGCATCCCGTTTCTCCTGCTTTTCACGCGAAGCTGCCCTACTCCTTTTCAAACCCTCTCGTTTGTCCTCTGTCTTTCGCCTCTCTCTCTCGTGTGTACACTCTACCAGTCGGGCCGAGGCGTGTGATCGTGATCGAAACCGAGGCGATTACACCAGCTTATTTGGCCTTCCAGCAAAGCGCGTGTGTGGTTTTAGCTTAGCCGGCGCGCACACTGTGTAGTACACTGTACCTACACTTTCACAAAAACAGTGTCGGATTTGAAATAATACATACAAACGCATTTGCCCCGCAATCGCCCGGCCTTATACCCCGGACAATTTCGTAAGTCATACTGTAGGTGCGTAAGGGCTTGCCTGTCGTCTCTTACCACGCCGCCTTGCGACCCCTTGGGAGTAGGCACCGCGTCCACAGGCCTGCAAGCGCTACAGTATAACTCCGAAATTGAACCGGGTCTGTGGGCGGAAGGAAACCCTGTAGTAAGAATGGGTAGTGCTAGTAGAGAAGATGACGCTAATGGAGAACGCCTAAAAAATAAAATAGTAGTATACGCGGGGCCTCGCGGGGTGGGGAGGGAGGACAGGGACATGGCCTGGCTCGGCGCCGGCTCCACATTGACAGGGAGTTTGTGTCGGTCCGTTCACACGGTCGCTTTTGTAATTACACGGCAATGCAAAAAGGCGACCGGCCGCGCGCCGCTCGGCTCAGCGCCGCCCAAAGGCCGCTCTTTGCTGTGTACGCCAGCCTGCGCCAGCCCAGAGAGCAGCGCCGCCGCGCGATGCTCGCTTGTTTTCCGACGCAAACCGCGGCTGCACGCGTTGCGGTGGGCGCGGAGGCGCGAAGGGCGCAACGCAAAACAGATTCAATCTCACATAAAAAAAAAAAAAAACGATAAAAAAAATCTAGAGGCAACAGTGTAACAAAAAATGTTATTCCCAATCCTTCTCTGGTGGGGGGGGGAGGGATTGGGAATAGAATTACCAATACGATAGGGCCATGGGGTCAGGGTAATTTTATCGAATATCGCACTTCCGGTGCATATCTTTCTCTTTTTCGCGTGTTTTGAGGGCTGCATTATTTGTAAAAGTGGTTCCAACGGCATTTGATTTCAACGCTTTGAGGTGTGTTCCCCGTTGTCAGGGCAGTCGGGTGGAGGAGATAGACAACTCGTCCTCCTCCAAAGGCCTGCAGCGTGTAGCCAGTCTTGTGCGAGATAAATGTGTTTCGCGGTGTTGGTTTCGACCGCCCCCCCCCCCCCCCCAAGCCCACTTTTCGCACTTGCTCAGAGGCGCCTTAGCTTGCCTTGCTGCTCAGCGGCCGGCAGCGAGAGGAGCTGTGTTGCACTACTAATGGGATTTTAACGACGAGCGGAAGTGCAGTGCAGTGCCGCAATCAGTTTGTCGCCATTTTCGTTCTGTGCCTCTCGCGCGTCAGGGGGCGCGGGCGAGCGATGGCGAGAACCCTCACCACCTTCTCTCCAGCGGGGGGCGCTGCGCTGTGCCGGTCGGACGTGTGGTTTTCTTTCTTTTCTTCATTTTGTAACGTCTCTAGTAAAACTGCGTGGGAAAGGTGGGCCCGTCGTTCTGACGGACTCTTCACACGCGGCCACCCACCCAAACGTTGTCCCGTAAGTCCAAAGTCTTTGCGGGAATCGTCGCACAAAATTCAAGTTATCGAATAACGTCTACGAGCTATCACTAGTTTTCATTTGTGGTGACAAGCCACTCGGAAGTGTTATAGTAATGTGTACAATACACAATAGAGATGAGGAAGAATGGTCTCTTTCTCACTCACAAACTTGCGTCATATTAGTCACCGAATTAGGATACAGCTTGTCTTAATTAGTTGCATACACACTGGGGTCCATAGATAAAACCTGCAGAGGCAATTGCCTGAATCTTCAGATTCTGTACCAAAGTGCAGTGAAGATAAGGTGGACCTCTGCACTTAGTGTTGCACACACTCAAAGCTTATGAAAACTTTTATTTATGGCTTGCTGGGTAGAACGCACACAGAACTCAGTAAGCTAGGAATAAAACTGTTCATAAGCCTTTAGTGTGCAGGATCCTGTCCTGTATCTCTACATACTCTGCATGCCATGGCATTCCCCATTATAAGGACTTGTCTAATGCCGGTTTGTTATCTTACAGATGTTTTTTTTTTTCAGGGCAGTGCCCGATCCGACTCAATCATCAATAAATCAAATAAATTTCTCTTCTGCGAAATCTTTCAAACATAACTATGCGCATGCGCAAACAAATAATGCAGCTAGAGGAGAAATGTCTATTATCCATTGACATTGAGGATGGGGTGTACGGTGTTGTCCTCATTCGTTTAGTTGCCCCCCCCCCTCCCCGGGGGCCCCAGCCGCGCGCCCTTTCGCCCTCCGCCCGACACATCCGCTCCGTAATTAAAACGCAACGTCTTCTCGCCGACATATTTGGACATGATGAAGCGGAGTCCGACTGAGTCACCTCCGCGCCGCTCAGCTCCGCGCCGCCGGTGGACGAATGCTCCATGCTCCATCCTCATCACTCTTATTGATGGTGATTGTTTGCACACGATAGAGAAGCGTCTATAGAAATAGATCCCGAATAGATCCGCATGACGCCACCTCGCGCTGCCGTTGCAGCACACGGCGGCGAGGCGAGGCCGGCGTATCGTGTGAGGTCCGGCTATCTATTTGTCTGCCAGTAGGTATGAAATGTGTGCCTCTCTCTC